TTTAGGAGAAAAGCTGTTCGATTCATTGTACATGGACTACGTGGCTTGTCCGGATGTATAAAGGCCCCTCGCAATATGCATATGACAGACCAACAAGTGATGCTACGTTATTCGATGTGCGCTTTGCACCCTCGTAATGCAAAGTAATACGCATTTGCAAACTCGAGCAGTGTATGCATAACTGAAGCCCCTCTGGTGTTGACGTGACGTATGCCACTGTAATTTTAGTTTGTGGTTTCGCGATTTTGAATTCGTGAATGGAAAATATCCATCCATCAGAAGTCTTCGATTATCTTTGCCGTACATTGTTTGGAGCATTTGGGATGTAGTCAAAGGGTCGATAATCAGGAGGTAAGTCGATTGTTTGGTAATGATTCGGTGGAACATTAGCTATCACATCTGTCGTCTGTCCTGTTTATGCAATAAAATCAATGCACAGTGAAATGAGCCGTTCTATTCGCAGTATGTAAATGTATATGTAGACGGTGTGTAGGCCGGTGAGTAAGCAGAGCGTCAACACGCAGACGGGCCAACCACTGGCGCAAGCCTTACCAGGAAGCAGAACACCACCAAGCTGGGTAGTCAACCAACTAATCAATGCAGACAGATCAATAGTGATACCTGATTTGCTGAAGGGAATTGACCTAGAGTAAGTCTGCATGACGTGCCTGTGTGCATGTGGTGACAGGTTGCATCAACAAGCTAGTGAATTGTGCTATGGGCCGTGAACGTCTCAGTCGACTGCGGGCCACAACCACATCGAATTCAGATTAGTGGGCTTCGCGAGTTAGGACACCTACTTCACATGTCCAGCTGTCGTCTGCAACATCATATATTCGTCATAGTCGCTCTGGGCTGAAGGAAACCATGTGTATGTCAACCAATGACACGAAGACGAGACCTGAAGAAATGCACATTACTGTTAAGTAGAATAGGTGTCTCTCGTCTTTCAGGTTGGGGTCCGAAATCCTCTCAACTGTTTAGTTGGAGACACTGATGGATATGGCGACTAACCGACAGCATTGGTGTTCTTGTTATCATTGTAATCGGGCCAGAATGCATAATTAGGTTATGCATTCTGTGTTGACCATGGAGGTCCACTTTCTTTCTCCCTCCCTCGATGTAGACCCAATCCCTGTCCACCTAAATATTCTCACTAACCTTATATTCACTGCGAGTTCGACAGCAAGCATTGAAGTTCGCTGCATGGTACCGATGATGATGATGATGCGCGTGACGAATCGAAACGAGGATGAGGATTGGTTCGAAGTTATGGCCGCAGCGCTTCGTAGTTCGTCTCAGTTGTATGCCTGTTCTAAATGTGCGGCTTTATAAAGTGTTAGGGATGAAACGCCAGTTTTTATGACGGACTATTAGATCACACACTAGTTAGCGTGAATATTTGTGTATTTCCGATGATGTACAGGAATTATTTCACAGAATGCAAGTTCCCCGTATGATTCCAGCAGTGGGTGATCGATTTCTGTGGATGAAGCAATGATTCATCCCAATTCAGGAAATGACCGAAGAGAGACAAAACTTAGTGTTTTTGTTTACCTCATTTCTCTCTGGCAATTTTCAGCGGTCCCACAGAAATTTTTAAAAACTGTTGTCACGTTTAACTCATGAAAACCTTTTTTCTTGCTCCCAGTGCCAATTTGACGAGGTAATTGAGCTTTTGTTTGAGGTCCGTCATCTTAGTCACATGTACTTCTATGAAATCTGCTATTCAATGTGTTACTTCTGCTTCAGAATCCCAAAAATTGTATATCAATGACTGCAGACGTAGACAAGGGGCATTGTATCCAAGTTTCTTATTCAAATCTCCGGTTGTACTTATGTTGGTTGGAACACCTAACCCTGCTGAACTGCTGGCAATTTCGGGGCAAAGTAGACTTCATTTACGTTTACGAGAAATGCTTGGGAAAAACAAATCTTCATACAGCCCTCCTGGGCTTCAGAAACAGATTGATTCGATTATCGATTATGGCGAAACCGCTTATCCCGATTTTCCGGGAAGTCTGGAAGAGGAGGCTGCAGTTTTCCGTAAACATGGTCTACCTTTGCTCGTTTGGCCTTCCGGCGCTACAGCAGAAGAACTCCAGGAGGTTCGTCATTTCCCTTACAACACACGAAATTACTAGTGTTTTCATAATTCTAGTTCATCATCTTTCAATTGTTCATTGAATAGCCCAAGTTCGTGTCTCGCCTTTTATAATATTTGGAATCTATTCTATCATTCTGTAGGTTTCTTTCGATTGACTAAACCGCCAGTTGTTGTCTTGAACACCTACGAAATCATTGAATTCAACCGTTATTTATTGCTGCTTTCAATCATATCGATAAGCGAGAACTTCCTTTTCAAGCAGGCACTCTTGACGATCATTATATTTTTTACTTTACTTTTTATTTGCTATCCAACAGAAGTACAATACTCGGGTGGGGAATTGCAGCAGGAAAACTAGTTGCATTGTGACGAAGTTTATAATTCTACGAGAAGATAAATGTATTATTGGGCCAGCTGACAGCCTGCTGTCCAGCATACATATATGTGCATATTAAACCGCAATTGGCCCGTCCTCTCTGCCACACTGAGGAACATGTTCATGTTTCAATCTTTGTCCGAAATCATTGCATTGCTCAATACTAACAGTGGCCACAGCATGCATGTGATCTGATTGAACTTGCAGCATCATTGATGAATTTATTCGCACATAATATACTATTATCAACAAGCCTTTCGTGTACATACGATCCGTTTATTAGTTGTTTTGTATTCTATCAGTATATATTTGCTCAGTCCGCTTTGTATGCTGTCTCTTGTAGTATCTAAACAATCATTACCCAGACTGTGGAATGTGGTTTTCCGAATTGCACAAGGTTACCAATTGGTTAAACATGAAATGGAAACCACTTGCTGCATGTATGGGTTTACAGTTGCCCGATTCCGGGACCACAACACCCTGCGAAAGTAACAGGAAAATCTCATTTGTGCAAACTGATTCGATCGCCGCAGTGTACGTCCAACGGCGCTTAAAGTTCTATATTGAGTAAGTTCTCTCTCTGACGGTGTTGAACGTTTTTCCATTGATATTGTATCTTATATGAATTGGTTAATAATTGACTAAATCACCTCAGTCTATGGCATATTTTTAACAACAATAACAACAACAAGGAATCTACAGGTCGTCATTTCCTTCACGGAAACCTTTTTTGTTCATCATTATACGTCTCATAGTGTGGCAAAACAATACGTCAGTTACTAAATTCTGTTTTGTTTTAGTGTTCAGAATGGCAGCTTCTTCGCTCCCGAAGCGGGAGTTTCTTTTCTTTCATGTTGTTGGTTTTAGTGCGCGCCACTTCTGCCTAAGTCGATTTGCCGTAAGAGACTGTTCTCTTTCCCTATTCATTGCATAGGAGTAGTCAAACAGCTCAATCGATCACGTTGGTTTTTTGTATGATGAGTATTTCTCTTTGAATCATGTGATTCAGTTCGCATTGTTGTGTAATTTGATGCATCCCAGTCTCAGGTGTTCAATGTATAATGCTCGCGCTAGTTCTCCCCCAGTTGCGATTATCTCAACCTATGCATTTGTTAGTCGATGGACTAATAAGATGGGTTTTCTGTTAGACCTTAATTGCGGTACTCTTTGACAATCGTATTTCATCAACACTACCACATCACTTCTGATTCCAGATATGCATCACTACTCCAGTCCTACTTTGTTCATCGACGTCTGTTCACTCCGGGATTTCAATTTCACTCAATACATAAAAAACTGCATGATATGTATGAGGCAAGTGATCGTTGTGTCCCTTGTGTGGCGCATTGCTCGTGAGCATTTCGTTTTCTGCTTCTGTGATATGTGTACATGAGCTTTAGAAGATAGTAGTGTTTAAGAGAGACAGACTTCAGGAAAGCCCCCGCGGGTTAGTGCGAAAGGCTTTTTTGCTCGCTGTTTATCCAACGAACTTTGATTTCCCTGATGCTCTCTTTGGAATGGGGAGGGAGGGCATTGCGAACTGGCGTCAAGGATCCAACTGGGTGTGCTCTTTTGACATAATGACAGTATGTCAGGTGGACCGTTCTAAGGGTCGCCGTGAGTGGTTTCAGGAAGTGAGAGCTAAAGAATTTTTCTTGTAAGTAATTGGGAGTAAAAGCATCATCCATGGTGTTTAGTGGTCAAAATATGCTTTCCCGGTCGGGATCCCAGAGGGAAACCTTATTTGGAATGATCTAAAATGGTGCTCGGTGGTGCATTTGCAGCTCAAGTTTGTATCTTGCTGGTAATTTTATTTCACGGTTTATTTCTTTATAAAGGAAACAAAAGCTCGGAAATACTACTATACGGTGCTTTCAAACGTCGCTGGATTTTGTACCGCGTGCATGAAAACTGAATGCATTCAGAAATTAATGTGTTTTCATTCTCACGTCTCAAACAATCAGAGCACCACGAAAACTTCCCGAGGTTAACAGACTACACTGGTACATTGGTTAGGTAGAAAACTACTTTTTATCCTGTGTGAAAAAGTAATGCTTTAAGAGAAGACGGAGTGAATTGACAGACAAATTCAAAACAACGCACATATCCTATGCTGTTCACCACTCCAAGTCCCGAGCCTAGATTACAGATTACCATGAGTGAACACTAGTTCCTCGTAACAACGAGGTCTACATTGTGTGCCGTTCACCGTTAAGCATGGTGTAATAAGCAGTTTAAACTGTTCAAATGGTTGTTTGGTAGACTGAAGTCTAATGTTGAAATTGTTCAGTAGCCTCACAGCGAGACTGCTCCTTGACGAGGTGTGTTGGTTTGTGCACCTCTCTGACCCAACGAGCTACACAGGATGGCTTTTGTCAAGCCGAACGTCGAAGGGTAGAGGTCAGACGAAGTCCAGTCTACTGGTCCTCCAGTTTGGGAGTTCAAATGGAATTTGCCTTTCAGTCGGTAAGAATGATGCAGTGATTGATCCAAGTAAATTGGTCTCCATTTCGCTCCACCCGCTGCCTTGCGCCTAAGTTCTTGTCAGAACTAAAGGCTTGGTTAAGAACCCTAATCGTTCTCCTGTTTAGTGGTTGAAGACCCTAGCAGTACCCATCCGTCAAAGTCCAGTGCATATGCATTGTGATCAGTGAAGCTCGCTCCTCTGTATTTCACTGTACGATGATGATGATATAACCTCGCTGGGGTTCGAACCCGCACATGGACGCCGCCTACTGTTGGGGATAGTGGCACAGAGGAAGCCTTCGACCGAAATGTCAATAAAAAGTAGTAGAGTGGTGTTTGCGAGATCAAACAGGCTGAAAGACGTTAAGGTATTAAAGTTCTTTGGCTTTGTGATCAAGAACCGAATTGGCATGATAATGAGAAGAGCACAGTGATACAGCTACCGAAGCATGGTCATATCAGTACACGTAAAAGATGGGATTAGGTTTGAATTTAAGGAAGGCAAATCACTGATAAAAGGAAGACCTTTTGAGAGTTGCTAACAGATTTCCTGAAAGAGCTTGACATCAGAGGAAGCCCATTTAGTCTTAGGGTCCGACTGATCTGCATATTTATCAAGGTGAAACTTCCAGCATCTACGAAGGGTCCGCCGCTACACCAACATTAATTTGTGATGAAAATTTGTTTTCTTTCATTTTTTTAATCCAAGTTGCTGAGCTTACAGTGGCAGCATAGAAAAATGTTTGCTTGCATTGTAGTGAGTATACCCAAAATTGTGCTTCCATCAGATGCCGGTTAGTTACAGTGTGCCTTATCACAACAAAAATGAGATAATGAAATGTTATCCGTAACCAAGTTGCACTATTTTACATCCGATTTCGTCGGTTAGTAACTCTTTGATGTTCTTTCACTGCCGACAGTTGCGTGCGAAGTCGCTGAAAGATGATTCCGGGTTTTTCAATGTGGTCGGAGATCGTTTACTTCGATTATCTCAGGACATTTCAACCTCCAGATCAGCATGTCAATCGTTAGATGCATTTTTGCAACTTATTGAAGACCCCGTAATGCGGAATCAATGGTGAGCCCACTTTGCCATTTACATCATACCACGTGCTGAACAAAGTAAAGCATTAGATATTTACTTGCATAATCATATTGATCGTTGGTGTGATAGTTTGACATTTCCAGAAATTCACTAACACTACGGGGAACCATTTTGTTATCTCAGGAGATGGAGTCAGGCTGTTTTTCTGACGATCTAGTACCGCCTTTCNCCGCCTTTCTGGTTTAGCTTAGTACTTGTGCACACTTGAAGACTAACGTTGACTAGCTCTTTGGGAGCTAGAGTGGTTAGAAAACCGTTTTCGAACCTCCAAATGGGAACATGTACGAGGTGGGGACTGTGAAGACCTGAGGACACATTCACAATTTAGTTCTCACTTGCATGTTTCATGAAACACCTTCCTTCTTTACAATATGCCATTGACTATAGACTTTTGCTGTTAATCACTTTGGACGTAAAGAATACTAAAAAATAACGATATGGATCAGTCTTGGTGGCGGAAGAGCTCGAGGTAATATAGGAAAAAGAACAATGTATTGTGACAAGTGCATACGTCGGATGAAACACCAGGGAGTGTGGTGGTGCAGTTGTTTAGTCGCTGTCACTTGCGNGCTTTGAACCGTATGGTCCGAGGTTCGAACCTCGCCACCTAACTATCGGTAAGCTGCTTTGCTGTCGTCCTATAGCTGCCGAGTGAAGGATTAATATGTCACCAGTTGAATGATACAAAATGGACTCACTTGGTTTTCCGTGACTATACGTATGCGAATAACTGTATCTGGCAAGTGTTCAAATAGCAAGATGAGTGCACTGTAGAATTCTGATACTGCAATCCAAAACCGACTCCAAACCAAGGTTAGTTCATTTTCACCTTGATTACTGACTCCCGAGGGGACACTTCCGAGCAGTCCTAGGGATGGGTTTTTTCTTTGTAAGCTTTATTTCGAGTCGGTAAAAGACATGTGCGAAACAATAAAGACGCCGCTGTTGGGGCGAGGTCTTACTTGTTCTGGTGCTTATCCGAATTGGCAACCGAAATAAGTACGGCTACCAAAAATTACGCTTTTGCCGTGATCGCCAGGTGGTGGTTCATACATATTTCGTTTTTTTAATTCACTGGCAATGCTTTGGTAGAATTTACAACCGTGTTCCCTGAAGCGCAGCTCGACTATAGCGTAAGACAGGTGGTGATGTCCCGGTGTTAACGTCACCAAATCATCACCCCGTAAGACTTGTTCGAATCCTATCACCACCGCCTGACTTTCGCTTATTGTGTTGTGCGGCAGACTGAAACGTTACGATCGAGAATATGAGATGGCAGAGATCCTAATGATTAGAGGCTGTTGAACCATCCGTCCAGTCTGCATGATGTGCGAGCCGCAGAGTGCCACTGGCAGCCATGCACTACCTTCCTGCCACTTTCCATCTAGCATTTGGCTGTGCAGAGGCTAGAGGTGCTAACTCCGCCCAAAGCGGATGACGCTGGGGACGTCTCTTGTACCAAGCCCCCAACATCATTTATGGATCCTCACTTGTTGAAGGATCCATTCGATAAGGAAAGAAGCACAGTGGGTGATTGAAACGCAGTGGTTCAGACCAGAATGTGCGGTGCCACAAGCTGCTCTGCATGAACTATGTGCAAGATCACATCGCTCGAAGAACTGGATATTCCGATCGCACCGTTGAGTTAGCAAATGCGGCCAGAAGCAAGCCTAGCCTAATATTCCGCTTATTGCAACCTCAGACGAAAAGCAGCACGATCTGCCAGAAACGATAGGAGCCTCAACTCGAATGAAACGGCAACAAATATAGAGACAATAACCAACAAGGAGATACTCTTCTGCCTCATACGATCTGCGTCGGGCGAGCAACGACCTACCAGGCTTGCGCTTCTCCCGGCGAAGAGGAGAAACGAGCGAGATCTTATGTAAAATGTGCCAACCATTTTGAATTGAATTATTCACTGTGCGCAGTTTGAGAACGTGAAGCTTGCCCAAAAGTTTAGACCACGTCCATTTTGCTCCGTTTCCCTGAAAAAGTTGGTAGGTCACTGTGCAAGAACTACGGGGGCATCAATTTACTCCATATGACAATCAGTGGTTTTGCACAACTTTGCCTAACCGCTTTAGAGAAAAATGACCGAGGTTGGTTTACAGGTGAACATATCCAAAACTGAGATGTTTGAGACACTCCCAATTCATCCCGCGAATACGTTGTAACTAAACGGGGGGTCGATCGATTTCGTCGAAAGTTTTAAATCTCTTCGCTCCAACAGCCAGGCTACAGGTGAAATCCGATTGCAATGCTGTCTGAAGGCTTTTCTACAGCTGAAGAATTTCCTATAGTGTAGAAAAGAAAATACGTTAAGCAGAAAATACACCTTTTCTTCACAATCAATCTTGATACAGGACTGTGAAACACCCCGGTCGATGAGTGGCAGTCTTCGATCCCTGGCTCCTAAGTGATTTTGGAAGACCGGACTCTCAAGGAAGCAGTCATATCATAACGCACTTAGCGATACAGAATACCTTAGTCTCCAATCCGTATTCGGCAATCGCCAACGGAAGTCAGGCTGAATCACGATTTGCTCAACCCTTACAGTCGAGCGTAGACAGCTGCCTTTCGGGATAGCTTCGAAGCCGTCTCTTCCTTTCGTCTCAGGAGGATTGCATGTGCGCCCGTGAACACGGTGACCTATATTCTTTTATTGTGCGGTAGCGAAGCTGGTATTTTGAATAGGGCCTTTTTATAATGATATTGAAGCACCGGTGTGTTTGCGGTAGCGGCGCATCAGTATCTACAAGACCCCAAAATGTTCACATTCTAAAGAGCCCGAATCGAAATATCAGTATTATCACCACTGGTTCCTCGCAATCTATGGTGAAAACCTGTAATTTTTAACTGTTTATTGCATCTGTAGTGGTTAGAGACAAATAAATTCAGTTGGTTCTCAGAGATGCTGCCACATCTTATAAACAGGTGCACCGACTGCTTATTTTGCAAAATTTTCTACGTTTCAAGTAATAATGCCAACCTGGGAGCGTAGCTTCAGCTATCTCGCTGAGGCCCCACAATTTGTGAGCATTGTGAACCCCAAGATAAAATTTGAAGTAGCCTCCTCATTCCCAATACTTTTGATCCTAACACACACGGATTGATATCATGACAAATCAAGGAATTTGAATTCGGGTTTATACATCTCTCCTCTTCTGAATTTCAGTTTCCAATCTCTTGTATCTACCAAAGCCCTAAAAGAACACCTAGAACACAAACCGCAGGTGAGCAGTTTACGGTGTGATTGGACTTAGCACTCACCAGAATGACCTGTTTTTACATTGTTGATCCTTCCTCGGCGCTTTCGTTATTTTAGGTCTCAGGCAGAGATGACTTCTCGGATTCCGAGTAAGTTTTTTTGCTTACAAATCTATTCCACGGACCTGACAAATATTTAAACAGTTCAATGTTTCTGCTTTACAAGCTAGTCTTCTGTTCTAACAAATCACGTAGTCACCTTATTTTACACCGCAGTAGTTGTCTTTAAACAAGCATGGCTTGTAAAACTAGGCCTACTTCGTGTTGTAGAGACGTTTTGCAGTCAGTGGCCCTCATTATATTTGCACTTGTTTTTTTTCGATTTTTTCTGTTGGTGCCTTTACTCACAGAGACTTTTGCGTTCTCTTGCAGGAACGAAAATGATGAACCGTCGTCCAGCTCAGACTCAGATGATGAGGAAATAGGCGCGGAAAATGGGTTGGTTTCAAGCACGCCCGACGCATACCCCAACAGACCTGTCACCAGGGAGGTAGGTCATTTTCTGTTGAATTTATCCTGTTTACATGTTGGGCGCGTTTGACCGACCTTACACTCCTCTTTTCAGATCATGGAAAACCGTGGCTTGGTGAAGTACCGCCACAAACGAGAACGCAACCCACGGGTGCATTTACGACACAAATTCCGGAAAGCCACTATTCGATACCGGTCTCGCGCACCACCTGTTAGACATGAGGAAACACCATACGTCGGTGAAGTCAAGGGAATCCGTGTACACTTGGTGAAATCACATAAATTCAAAACTAAATAGCCTTGTCGTTTTATCTATGTCCTTCAGGCCGGGTTTCCTTCCTCGAGATTCAGTGAACTGTTTCTATTTTGCGAACAAATTTGTTCATTAGAGCAGACTTCATGCTTTGTGAAACTCACGAGTGGTCGCAAAGTCTCAAGCTTGACTGACTAAACCTAACAGGAATTTTCTGGAGCGGACGTTTGAAACACCAGATTCCCGAGGGACAAGTCCCCCGCCGGTTCCTGATTCGCCATACCAGGAAGGAAAGTTATTGGTTTTTCTGACTTTTCTCAACACGTTCCGCAGCTGACCAAACTATCTGGGAATGACTTGTGGTTGCAGTGGGGTCCATATTAGCCCCATGGGAAGAAGGCGGAAGGTTGCATCTAGTTTTTATTTGAGTCAACCGAGAAATAATATAAGCCTATACAACTGCTTTTATTGTTCTGTGTACAATGCAGCAGGTGAAGTTTCGCACAAGCATGTGCAGGCAATAAACGAATTGAGGAACTTTACAAGACCAAAGCGCACAATCAGGGAAGGTGAAAAATAGGGACGGCTTCAGCAATGTCAGTGTGAAAGTCGATCGACCATTCACGATAAGGCAACCTGTACATCAATGAGCAAGAGGACCTGGCAAAACATGACAGTCGGATTAGTGTAGTGCGTGCGTCAACCGAAGCAACTGAGAAGTGTTAAACGTTCGAACGAACCCTTGAAGATGTCAGGTTGCTCAAAGGAATAGTGAATGAATACCAAATCAATCTTCATTTTTCGTAGCTGAATCACTGGGATCTCTGGAAAGAATAAATATTCAGAGCACCATAAATAACGTATATTACTAAGTTTTTTCTTTTTTTGTTCTCTTCGAAGACACTGATCAACGCGACGTCACGAAACGTTTAACAGGATTTTTTACAACAAAAAACAATTAAATGTTATGTGGAGACAGTCCCATAAATCGCAACTGATGTTAGTCTTTCTGGCAAGCAGCATCCATATGGAATGCAGTCCGTAAAAAGGTTACGGAACAACGAAGCAGCTTATCGTGTGACGGAGAACAGAATGCCTCTCAACACGCGACAGTGAATCGTGATATTTTGGACACAATAAAGAAGCGATCATTGCCCAACAAAACGTTTATCGCAGCGCACAACTTACTCGGTCACTGTCGTTTCTCTCACTGGACTGGCTTCACGGGGACGACCAGTGCCGAAAATGGCTTTCGCACGTTCAGAAAGCTCACGAACCTCCCGAGACTCCAACGGTAATGTACGTGGTTTCAAATTCAGTCGATGCACTCCTTCGCCAGAACTATTGCTGTTGGCATCGCCTGTATCCAACGTGGGTTTTGGCAAAACATCTCGCGATGCTCCTGGTAACTGAAAGCTTTGTCGGCCGCGACCAGCCATTCCTCCACCTCGAGCACCTGTAAAACAAATATGAACAGTAAGGATTGAGTTGAAAGGAAGACATTAAAACCAACTGTTGCCGATAAAGGATATATATATAGAGAGAGAGAGACTCACCGAAACGTCCACCGTTGTTCATACTGGGACGTCCTCGAGAGGACCAACTGTCCTGATTGACCTTTGGTTGACCAAAACCTTCTCTGCCGTAGCCGTTTCTTGCTCCACGAGAGAAACCCCCGCGCTGACCAGCACCTCCGCCTACAATTCAACGAAATGACCACATTTTACGAAAAATGATACTATTAGGCTAGCAACAAGCAATCTTTCCGCCTTGCATCAACTGCATTATCCTATTTTAGTTCAGGGGTACAGACGTCAAAGCTTCTCCAGTCAACACATAAAAGTTGTTATTTTCCTAGACTTTAAATCAAATGCCAAAAATAGTGTTCCTCCGAATAGCCTGAATGATCTACGCGAGAACCACATCAACACAACTGCTGTTGGTTGACAAATAATTTAATTCGCGGAAATCTATTAAGTCTGGGTGGTGGTGGCGCAGTGGTTTAGTTGCTGTCGCCAGCGTGCTTTGGACCCCATGGTCCGGGGTTCGAGCCCCGCCACCGCCACACAATTTTGGTGGTAGGCAGCTCTGCTACCGTCTGGTTCGATACCAGGCCTAACTTACCGAGGACTTATGTGGTTCGCCACTCCAAGGCTTAGGTTACCAGTATGCACCACTGGACAGCAGGTCCTCGTGACTATGGGGTTCGCCCCATCTGCTGTTCATCACACTTAGGTGTATAATAAATAAATAAGTCACGAAGTGGCTCAGATTTGCAGCGCGCTTTCTAACTCGTTTGTCAACAACTTCAAATTTAAACTATTTGGTATTCTAACGGGGCCGTGAGTGAAGCCCTGACACTATCGGCCACCAGTAAACCAAAAATGTCTGTATACATTTGGAAAACCAAACCGAACGAAATAATCCAGATGAACTTATCACGATAAAAATCAAGACACGACACAGAACTAGCCTTTAGCAATAGACAAAATAATGTTCGCCTGACACTTCGTGAAAGAAACTTGATGTTTCCCTAGCAAGAAAATGCAATGTTTGTTTGATATTTTTGTATTGCAATTCGTTTGGCACACTGTATGCATTCTAAAGCGTATGACTATATAATGTTTAGATGTAGATTTTCGTTTGTCTTGCCTGTCAGTTATCAGGTGCAATGCGTTTGGCAACTCTTCATTTTAGCGTTTAAATGTGCCCAGTACTTCACCATTCTAATTTGAGTGAGTCGGTTTCGTACTCCACGGAACCTCTTTCGTCTACAGTGTTTTCTCCAGCAGAATGTTTATTAATCCTCCACCAACCGGTCATTCGACGCAATCAGCCCACGACCAGACTCAGCTCTCATATGAAAGTCTCAATCAACTGTTCTCGGAGACATTGTGCTGTGCACTAGAACTCAACACCTGTTCGAGGAATCCGACATTTGGGGGGAGGGGGGCATTTCCTGCGCTCTGAGAAAAGCAATAAGTACAAGAACCATCGTTCTTGTAAGTAAACCTAACCAAGCTAAGTAGGCAAAAACATGTTCCTACAATTATAATTCGAACTTAAAAAATATTGTTTAGAAAAGCTTTTAGTTATCAGGAAGCCTGAATACAGGCTGGTTCTATTGAAACAGTCGTCCCAATTCTATCAATGGAGTACAACCGAGAGTTTTCGGATGCCAAATCACTTGACACACGGAGATTGAAGCGTGTGGATAAGGCTGGATCTGGAGAACGCTTGATTGAAGCGGGGTCTGGTATGCATGTTTCCGGAGACAGAATACATCTAGCGAAGGCAGCTTATTGGCCGATCTAGTAGTGTGCGGATAGGTGAAAAGGAGATTTTGGTTTCAAGAATCCGATATCCTCCGAGTCGTTGATCTTATTGGTTGAACGCGGAGTGATATTCCATGAGTGGCGCAAACAGGATGCATCTTCTAAGGTTTTGAAGTGAGAAGTGAAAGGAGACAGTTGAGAAATATGCTTCTCTAAATGGGTAACTAAGACTTTGGGGCACGGTATACTTCGCGGCAGCCCACACCTACGAAGGTGTTTTCTTTGGTAACCCTAACCGGAGCCTTCGATTAAAGTCTGACCCACAAGGCAGTAAGGCGTAGATCCGACGCCGGAGCGTGACCGAAGCACTCGTGTGGGAGCTTCTGGAGACCTGACATGCAAGGCCTTTGAATTTCGGTTCAGTGTTTTGTTCGCTCGTGCGTTGACGGTCCGCTTATCGGGATCGGCCTAATGCACCCAAAGAGACAAGCGGAACGTGGACGGGACAGCACTTTATTGGCTGGGGGCTGCCCAGCTTGAGCGGGCGGTAGCTGTCCAATGAAGTGCGAAGACTTCTCCCACCATCGAGAGGAGGCCCCAGGTAACCTGCTCTTCCGTCCATCTAGCATGGGGTTTTGACCGGTAAACTTCCTCGCCTCTTGTGTTTTAGCTGGAGTGACATCTATAGTGGATAGTCAAGGGAAACCAGGTGCCCAGACAGCTGGCCTTGTGAGACTGATCATTATCTGGCCCCTACCAATTGACCTTTCAGGCATGATTCGATCTGCGACTGAGGAGCCATCGTGTGTACCTCGCGAGGTCATAGAGGCACGCAAATCAACATACCACGCCAAGGTGCAGTCTCGTCGTTGGCTAAAACACTATATCCGAATCACCCACAGTTGGCGTAAGAAGCCCGTAGGGTCAACATTCTGAGGCAGCAGGACGACCAATCCATGGTGGAGTTCGCCAGCTCTGCCGTTTCATTGAAGGGCTTTCTACGGTAGTCTCCAGTGGTTGTCGTGTTTTGTGGTGTATCGCTACGCAGCTGTCCGCCTAATGCCAAGTTAGGGATGGTGTTGTCGTCTTGGTGACTAGTGGAATATCTCGATTGTTATAAAGATTATTAAAAGGACATGGGGCATTTGGGTCCGAAAGCCGTGTATGGCTTTGAAGTTGGAATTAGAGCTGGCTCCCACTGTGCCAACCTTACCGCTGAACTCCGCCCATGAGCAGGCATAAAACTTGATTCAGTAGGCGACCGGCATCACCGAAAACTATTCGTTTTACCTCAACACTGTTTGTCTAGTTGTCCCACCAATTTCGGTATTTAGTTTTGCCCATGTAACCGCTATCTTGGCACCATACAGGAGAAGCAGTCGAGCAGCAGAAACATTCCACCTTTCGCAGACAACCGCATGCTACAC